AAGACGTTACGAATACCTTTATATTGCAGATCGTGTGGAGCTGGTGATGATATTCAGTACGGGTAGGCATGTTACGCGATTGAATTCACGCCCCGCGATTATATTCCAGTTTTTTTTTTTTTTTTTTTTTTTTTTTCAGGACAGGATTCGCGAGATTCTCTCTGAAGGTGGCGTTCATAAATCGCGAGAACCGATCTGAACCGAAAAAACGACAAATCTACCTGAGATATTGAGAAATTGAAAACGTGACACACATTTCGTAATTGCGGAAATGTGCATAAAAACTTACAGTTTCATAATTGAAACAGCTAAAACAACTACTTTTAAGTGGGTAAAAAATACCAACTAAGCATGTGTTGTAATTTTCACCTGCCATTGCTGACTTGGCTAAGCGCAGCTTAGAGTAGTTATGTAAACGTTCTCGTGCGAACGTTCTCTTCGTGCTTAAAGAGGTTCAATGTGGTAGAATTAGTGCTTGCCTTCTGTATCATGATTTGTTATCTTGATTCTAGTGAATTTGCGTGCCCAAGCTTACTCAAGCTACTCAGTGAAACACACAATTATGAAGGCTATCTCTTCTTAGATAACTATAGAGCTAGAGTAGCCTATCTACATTAGACACTTCCACATAAGCTCCTGTTATAGCAAAAAACTCCGCACTCCGAACCATCATAGAATCCCCAAATATCATGTGCTTCCTCCCATTGCTCAAACCGGAAGCTCCAAGTCCAATTAATTATTCCCATCGAACTTTGGCGCACTCTCCCATTTCTCATCACCCTTGTCCTGCTCCATGCCCAGCATCAGCGTCGGCAGTGATGTCAACAATGTCGGTGGCGGTGGCGGCGACAGTGGCACCGTCGGCTGTGACATTGGTGGTGGCGACTAGGGCAACACCGGCAGTGATAGCGGCGACAGCTGCGGCTGTAGTGTCGATGTCGGCAGAGCCACCCCCTCCTGGTTTGTGGAGCGTAACTCCAAGCCCAGATCTTCAAATAATGATATGTCAGTGTCGACATAATCCTTCATCCGAAGACTTTGCAGCAAGGCATTGCACCATCTGTTCCCACAGCCAGTTTTCGCGCTTAAATTCACCAAATTTTGTTGAGTTGTTGTCGGCGAGTCGACCGGGTCGTTTGAAGTGAGATTTCTTGATGCGGCCGCCACCATTCCCCTCAAAATTTGGCTTGTTGGATGTGCGCTGATGTTCACTATTGGTGTTTGAGATCCACTCCCCTTCCCCTGGCCGCGATCAGCAGCTAATCGCGTTCTCCTAGATTCTTTGGATTTTCCGTAATTCATCAAATTTCTTGATTTTCTCCCGATCCACTTATCACATGGCGATGAATGCAAGGCAAATATTATAGATCATGTTAAGCTCTTTCCAACGATATGCTGATTGTCTCCAATGCTTGTCATCGACCGAACACCCTTGAGAGAAGATGCCGCTCTTCTCGTCCTCCCAAGTGGATCAATACGTTGTCCACCGTGTTTCTCCTTCCCTTCACTGTTGTCATGTCCAATTCCTGCCACAAGGATGTGCGGTGCGATTTTGGCAACCCTTCGGGAGCAGTAGGAGCTCTTTTGTTTCCACCAAGGAATACGACTTTGTTACACAGTAGGTCAGTCTTCCAATGGGTCAATAGACTCCCCTCAGCTCTGATACCATGCTAAAGTGTTCTTAGAGGTATTCTTAGAACCTCCTCCTAGAGTTTAGGATGCTTAGGAACCCAATTTGGCATGAGCTATTCTTAGGAAACACATCCAATATATGAAGTGAGATCAAACCAAGTCACAACCAGACCTATGCTAGGAGTTTACCCTCTAGAAGCATTCCCAACCCATCCAACCAAAGTATTCTACACTACCCATTATGTAATCTACTTCTATATATATGTTTATTGGAGCAACCTAGATACTCCTATAATTCCAACATGCTTAAGACTCGGGCTTTAAAGCGCGGATCTCGAAACCCCCCAACTCAAAAACTTAGGTTTTGACTCGAGGGGCATTTTGGCTGGAGCTCAAAACCTTAGCTTTTGACATTACGGGGTTTCGAGATCCTCGCTTCAAGCCTCTGTTCGGGCTTGGCAATGTGCTATGGCTCTGTACACCATGAGTGAAGAATGTCGTACCCTTTTGTTTGTGGGGTTCCACGACAGGCTCCTCTTTTGCAGACAAAACTGTCAAAACTCAGCCACTAGCCACTGAGTTACAAGGGCTTGTTAATAGCGAGACAGTGCGCCCATAACCCCCCCAGGCTCTGCATCTGTGGCCCTTTCTGGAGGAACTTCTCAAGGGTAACCCCAACAGGTCTCTCGACAAAAAGACTTGTCTGAACGTCTGATTTTCAAACTGAATTTTTCGACTTTGTGTGATTCGCCAGACAAGGAATATTTTCTCTCTGATTGGAATAGATTTTGTCTGATTTTTTAGACTAGTGTTTCTACCTTATCTGAAATTGAGTATATGGGATTGCGTCCCCTCCCCAACAAATGCC